CCGCCCCCGCGGCCAGTGCGGAGCGAAGGGCGTCGGGCTGTCAGGTGTGCGGGGAGGGGCGGCCGTGCCCCTCGCGGACTCTGCGTTTGGAGGGAGCACGCCTGCAGCCTCGCGGCCCGCGTCCGACGGAGACGGCAGGCCCACGTCTCGCATCCCATCTGATGTTAGCGGTGTCCCCTCCCGGCCCAAGTTTTTAAATTCTTGGGGGCACCAGACCAAGGAACAAGTGGTCAAGTACAGAAAGTGGCCGCCGTCGGCGAGGCCGTGTGGCCGCCGAGGTTCATTTCGTTCTTTGGGAAACGTGAGACTCCGGGTGTTGGCTCCAGTGCTCAGGTACCCGCAGGCCCGACCCCCCAGCTGTTCTGAGCGGTGTTGGCAGCTCGGGGGTTCAGCGGGGCCGCTTTCCCGCGGTCGGTGCCAACGCAACATTCGAGTAGCGAGTTAGGGTTTCCTGAGAGCGTCTGCCTGCTGGTCCCTGTTTCAGGATGACGACTTCAGGCGCTCTGTTTCCAAGCCTGGTACCAGGCTCCCGTGGGTCCTCCAACAAGTATTTGGTGGAGTTTCGGGCAGGAAAAATGTCATTAAAAGGAACTACCGTCACCCCAGACAAAAGGAAAGGGCTCGTGTACATTCAGCAGACGGATGACTCCCTCATTCACTTCTGCTGGAAAGACAGGACATCTGGGAACGTGGAAGACGTGAGTGTCTGCCAGGGCGGGAACTGATGCCTCTGTCCCCTGGGTGGGGGTCCTCCGAGGGCGTGGGTGGGTGTCTGGGGTTGCGGCTTGGCTGCCGGCAGGAGCTCCTTTGCTTTGCTTTGCTTTTGGGTGTTCCTAGTCCCACCGATTATATGGATTCCTTCCTTCACTGTATGTACTTTAAACTTTGAAGGTTAGGTGCTTAGAATTGGAGAAGCTGTATAAAGACCCTGGCCTTTACTCCAGCCCACGAGACAGCTCTCTCCAGTGGTCCTACTTACTGTTCTTTGTCGAGACTAAATTGTTCTGTTAGGTTCAAGAGCAGGTCAGAGTTGACTTTTTGACTCACCTTGGAACATTGTTTCCAAAGTGTCTCTATTAAAAAATCCTTCAAGAGTTGAAATCCAACTTTCACCGGCTGGCCTGGCCCTCATGCCCCTCCTGTGGTGCCTCTGACCCTGGCTTGTCCGCCCTGCAGAGACCCTGCTGGTGAGGAGCATGGTCTCTGCCCTGTGCCCTCGTCCCCACCCCAAACTCAGACACAGGGCCCAGCGTGTTTCCCTGAGAGCGGCTGGGGCTAGGTGCTGTGTTCGCGGGACGCTCACCCCGCCCCTCCCGACGCTCACCCC